TTAAATTTTCTGCTCAGATGTAACTATGACACAAAATATTTAGATCCTAAATTGCCAGCTTTCTACAAGGACATTCTATCCTTTTTTCTGAAATTGAATCTCAGTACAAGTATGAACAGGGGCAGGAAACAATCCTTTTTAACAATAAAGCTATTTTAATAGGAGGGAAACCCTTCTTTCTTAGGGAATTGTTTTCCAAAGGAATTATTTATATTAAAGTATTACTTAATGAAAATGGACAACCTCTTTCCTTTCAAGAGTTTCAAAGCAAATATGACTTAAGAACGAATTTCCTAAATTTTCATCAAGTATTTAATGCTATTCTGAAAGCATTAGTAACTAAGGCATGTAATCAAGACAAACCTCTTGAAGAAAATTATTTAGGAAATAGTAATACTAAGATTAGAGTAATACTATGAATTTAGAATTTAGAGTAATACTATGAATTTAGAATTTAGAGTAATACTATGAATTTAAATTCCAGCAAATGGCAACATATCTCCAATTTGGCAAAACAGATTTGCAGAGAAAATAAATTAAAAGAATTCCATTACAAATTCTTACATAGAATTATAGTCACCAAGAAAGAATTATGCTGCTTTGGTTTCAAACAAGATAGTGATTGTTTATATTGTGGAAATGAAGACTCTATCAACCATACCTTTATTAACTGCCAATTTTCAAAAGCTTTCCCACGAAGTTATTCATTGGTTCAATAACGTTAATTATACTAATCAACACCTGTCTGTTAAAGAAACTTTATTTGGCCTTTTTCCCACCTCTTCAATTGCAAACAAAACTCTGTTAGGAAAACTCAATCATACCATGTTGTATATGCACTATTACATATACACCAGGAAACTCCACAATAGATCAATTACTCTCTCTGATTTTGTCAATAAATTAAAAACAAATATAATGTTGAAAATATAGATTAAAATTCATGTAATAGTTAAATATCATAAAGAAGATGCTCCTTCAAGGGCACAGTTCTAGTTTAATCAGTTAGTTTTATTTATTTAGTGTTTTAAGGGTAGATATCTCTTTTCCCTTGCGTAGGTGGTATACGTAATGATATTGGAACATTTAAATAGAACTGAATTTCAATGTTATGTTTTTTGGTTTTGTAAGTAGTTTGTATGTGTACTTGACAGACACACCATGTTGTAAATAACGTTTGTATTTTGAAATAAAGCATATGCCGTAAAAAAAAAGCTTGGCTCAAGGGAAGTCTTTTACGTTGTGTACGTGCACGCACTCATTTGCGCATGCAAAACTTTAAACGATAGCCACTAACTTTGAATCATGGTTGATATTCCTAGGAATAACTTAATTAGACCCAGGCGCTCATGGTTCGTCACCTAAGGTTCTTTTTATTACCAGTTCTCATCTGATATCTTTGCTTTTTGTTCGTTTGCTCTTGTGTCGCTTTGTTCAATTGATTTGTTACCTCGTCTTGGGTCCATTCACTATGCTCAAGCCGTCGGGAAACGTAAAACAAGAGTTCCAGTGCTTCCCTCCGGGTTTGTTTGTGACCTGCCTTCTCTAGCACGACTGCCAAACAGTGCTGTTAGCAGCACATCACCTGATTGTCCTTCACCTTCGAACAGTGTCGCAACAACACCACATGTTGAGATTCCTGTACTGAATTCCTTGCCTGGCAATAGGGAGCTTAAGGTCCGACGATGGCGTGCGTCTATAACAGCAGACTTGGTCGAGGGGGATTGGGGAGAGGTCGCCACTGCAGTGGCGGGAAAATAGTTTTCAGATACACGTGCGACAGCGGGTTATTGAAGAGGCTTTTTTATTTACTTGTTAATGAAGTTTAGAAAGTGCAACGGCTACTTTTAGAAAAGTTTGTGAATTGTTGCTGGTAAGTTGCGATGATGGAGATATTTCGGAAGATGAATTTTTACTGTTGTATGATTGTTGTATGATGCCAATAGCTCAAAGAATCCTGATTTTCCCTGCCAAAATTATGAACATTTTGACCTGGAAGAACTCAACGAAAGTGAGTGTTTGGCAGAGTTTCGTTTTCAAAAAAGGGACATACCTATTCTTACAGAGGCATTGAGGTTGCCTGACTCTTATACATGTGAACAAAGGACTGTATGCGATGGAATTGAAGGCCTTTGTCTTCTCTTAAGAAGATTAGCATACCCTTGTAGGTACAGTGACCTAATCCATTGGTTTGGATGACCAGTTCGAGAAATCTGCATGATTACCAATCATGTAATGGAAACTGTCTACAGCCTACACCATCACTGTTTGACCACATGGAACCACACTTTAATGAGCCTGCCTTTGCTTCAGACATATGCTGATGCTATATGAAGGAAAGGCAGTGCTTTGCCGAATTGCTTTGGTTTCATAGATGGTACAGTAAGACCCATTTGCAGACCACAAGAAAACCATAGAATCATATACAATGGACACAAAAGAGTTCACGGTTTGAAATATCAATCTGTTTCATTGCCCTGTGGTATGATAGCCAACATGTATGGATCAGTAGGTAATGAACATTTTCTTTGAGTCAAGTTGTAAGACCTTATAACCCTCTCTCTCACTGTAAAGCTAATCATAGGGACAAATGGGTGAAAGAAGTTTTTTAGACTAAAAGATATAAAGGAGTACATGTATATATAAAAGAGATATTTTTTTGGAAATTATAAAAAATCAATATGTTCATTTTCTTCCAGAGGGCCACAAACATGATGCTGAAATGCTAGCTGACTCTGGCCTTTTGTGAGACCTTGAACAGCATGCCTTTTCACCGACTGGTAACCCCATGGCCTTATATGGTGATCCGGTTTACCCCTTAAAAGTTCACCTTGTTGTGCGATATCGTGGGGCAGGTATCACTCCGCAGATGGAAGATTTTAACAACTCAATGAGTAGTGTCCGCACTTCAGTAGAGTGGCTTTTTGGAGATATTATTAATTATTTTAAGTTTGTTGA